CCATCACAGAAGTGACATTTGCTCTCCCTGGGTCACCCACTTCTTAGCACCATGACCCTGGATAAGTTACTCAATGGCTCCGAGAATCAGTTTTCTCATCCACAAAATGGAGATAACAGCTTCTCCTCTGTCACAGAGGCGTGAGTAGTCTCTGAAGAGATGCTCAAGAAATGCTAAATGTGTATTATTTTATTAGATATGTGGCCCTTTCTAGGTATGATGTTAGGCATATTCCCAATCATTATCTGCTTTACAGAGCCATCATCCAAGTCCTATATAAAAGAGATGCTATGATGACTTTTCACCAGTGTTATGTTCTTTAATTAAAAATGAAAGCCCTAGGTATCAAAGACCAGCCTGCTGAGTTTCCTTACCTTTCCCAACCATGAGACATTTCCCTGATGTCTGCAGCACATCTTTGACATCTGGGACAGAAGACCAATTTGCCTTTACCCCTGTGTGGTTCCACCTGTCACCATTAGTATGTGATCTTTATAAAATTAAACTGAGAGGGAACCAACCTTTTTTCTCCATGCTTTCTACCAAAGCCATCAAGCTTACAAATATGGTGTCTGCTTAATAAAATGAATGGATGCAAGAAAGAAAATTCCTGTATTTAATCTCACATGTTCAAAATGGTATTTATACCAACTAATGTATTCATGTTTGATCTGAGCTATAATGCATTTTTCATCATTTGATCAACTTGTGACAGAAGGTTTATTTGTAGCCAGTGGTTAATACACAAAGCATACTTCCCTCTGGGTCATTGCTTCTTTCTTCCTCTGCCATTTAGCTTCAGAAAAAAAACCAATTTTCTCAAGGTTCCCCGGGTGTGAATCCTTTAACTCTTCTCTGTTTATATCAAGGGAAGAGATCAACATTCTGATCTTAACAGTAGTTACTGCATATCAATATAGGCACCTGGTAAGGTTTCAATTCCCCATTTGAGAGTCAGTTCAAAAGCACAGAATGCTGAAGTTATCTATGTAGTTGTATTAGACTGTGTGTGTGTGTACACTTTCACACTTTCACTTGGATTCTCAGAAACAAAACAAAGAGTTCAGTACAAAGTGTTTTATATATAGCTCCATGCAAAAGTATATTAATGGCTATCTCTACGTTAATAGTGAAATCTAAAAATCCAAACTGCACGGTTAAATTTATATGGCTGAGTCAGAAAGAGTCATCATAATTGGAATTCGGCAACATGTTTGGATGATGGAAATCAGTGGGGCATGGCAATCTTTACTTTGAGTTATACATAAAGATAGCTTAGGACTGGAATGAGGCATGCATGATGTATAAAGGAATCCTTAGAAACTATGAAAATAGTTCACCACTGTGAAGAGAAAAGGGGAAGGTTAAATTACTTTGGCTATAAAACTTCATGTAATGCAAAAACCAACTGAACCAACTTTGTTTTCCAGATGTCTTCAGCACTGCATTATTGCAGAAGTTGGAGGACTATAGGAAGATGATTTCAGGGTATGCCTGACACTTTGTTACAGAAACAACAATAACAATGATAAAATGATCCTTGGATGGACAAAGGAAATACTATCGCACAGGTTTAATAAAATATCTTTTTATAGCAGATACCCTAAAACACCAGCCTCTGGAGTAAAAACCATTCAAGTTCGAGCCCCAGCATCACCACTTACTCTCGTTGGTCCTTGAGAAAGTCCTTCACCTCACTGAGTTTTAGCTTCCTCGTCTGTAAAGGCAGACCAAACAGGGCTGATGTGAAGTTTAAGTGAGCTATGAGTAAAGTTCTTAGCATAGAGTTGCGGAGAGGAAGGACTCAATAAATTGTCAGCTATAGTGTTGATAATGAAGAGGTGAAAATAATGAAGAGGAGGAGGAGGAGGAAAATGAAGAAGGAAATCAGCCAGATTCTCTATCTATAAACCTTATTAAAAGAGACTTCCTAGAGGAAGTTATTGTCTGATGATGAAGTGTGAGAATCCTTTCCTTCTAAGGGTAATTTATATTTTAGTGAAGCATTTAGGTGCAATCCTTTATCTGTCCTTGTAGGAGAATACTCATTGTAAAATTGAAATGGGGGTGTATGACGCTCGTCAGATGGAAAGAGGAATTTTTTTCACCTAGAATTAAGAACAAACTTTAAATAGGCTGTTAAAAATTCTGTCCTTTGGCTAAATCCCTATATAGCTAAGAGTTTATGAAAGAGCAATTTCTTCACTCTTCCTAGTCTTCAGGACAGTGGGGATGGAGTGTAGCACATCAAAAGTCAAGATGCAATGAGCAGGAGTTCTTGAAATTGATAAGCTGATCCTAATATTTATATGAAAATGCAAAAGACTTCAAATATTTGGAGCAATCTTGAATAGGAATAGCAAAGTTGGAGGATTTACATTACCTGATTTCAATATTCTGAAAAGCTGTGATAGTCAAGGCGGTGTGATAGTGGCATGAAGGTTCACAGAGCAACGGAACAGAACACGGAACAGGAGATACCCACTCGGGGGGTCACTTGATTTTTGGCAGAAGGGCCAAAGTAATCCAACAGGAAAAGGAAGTTCTTATCCATAAGTGGTACAGTAAATAAGAGGAAATAAGTATCAATAAACTGGATATGCATAAGGAAAAAAAGTGAACCTTGACCTCCACCTCACATTATACACATACTAAACAAGCAAACTAACACCATAAAATTTTAAAAGAAATCATATGAGAATATCTTCATAATCTGGGGTAGGCTCAGGGTTTCTTCAAAGAAATAGGACAAAGAAACACTAACCATCAAATTTTTTGATAAATTAGACTTCATTAAATGAAAAGTTCTTCTGTCAAAAAAAAAGACACTTCTAAGAAAATAAATAAGCACACTGAAGACTGGGAGAAAATGTTTTTAAAATATATATCTGACAAAAGACTGGCATCCAGCATCTGAAGAACTTTTACAACTCAGTAATATAAAGTCAAATAATTCAAAAATAAAGGGGAAAAAGATTTGAAGATGTTGTCCAAAAGAAGATTTACTAATGGGCAATAAATCCAAAGAAGATGCTTAAGGAAAGTGCAAATTAAAACTACAATGAAATACCAATCATATGTATCCATGAGGAAGGCTAAAATAAAAGACTGACGACAGCAAAATTTGACAAGGATGTAGCATGATTAGAACTTGAAAACATTATTGGTAGGAGTGAGAAACAGTACAGCTTAAAGCAGGTTCAACCTACTTTATGACCCAGAAACTCTACTCCTAGGTATTTGAGTGAGTGAAAGTCGCTCAATTGTGTCCGACTCTTTGCAATCCCATGGACTATACAGCCCATGGAATTCTCCAGGCCAGAACACTGGAAGGGGTAGCCTTTCCTTTCTCCAGGGGATATTTACCCAAGATAAATTAAAAACATGTGTCTAAAAAGGCTTATACAGTAATGTTCATAGCAGATTTATTCATAATAGCTAAAAAACTAGAAAAAGCCCATCAACAGGGTAATGTAAAAATAAACTCTGCCCTGTTTATACACTGGAATACTGCAATACAAAGGGGGAACGCCATACTGATTACAGACAACAATATGAACAAATCTCAAAAACAATGCTGAGGAAAGAATCCTTACACAAAGATTCTACTTACAGAAATCTTAGGAAAGGTAAAAATAATTTATGGTGGAAAATGTCAGAACAGTGAGTGCCTGAGGGGACAATAATTGTCTGGGAAGGGATACATGGGAACTTTCTGGAGTGTGGGTAATATTTTGTATTTGAATAGGGGTTTGGGTTATACAAGTGTCAAAACTCCGGAATGTTTCTTTAAGATTTGTGCATTTCACTGCATATAAATTTTACTTCAAATAAAAACAACACCATAAACAAATATTGAACTGTAGTTAATAATATGCATGTTGGGGGAAAGTGTACTGATGTTTGAACTGGCTTTGAAATACATCAAAAAATAAGATGGATTGATAGATACATTGAGGGATGGATAGATGGATTGTTAATGTGATAAAGTAGCTGCAGTAAAATGTTAGTGGCACAGTCCAGGCATGTAGGTGGGTGTTCACCTTAGAATTCTTTCAACTTTTCTTGGTGTTCGAATATTTTTATAATAAAATATTAGAAAAAGAAGTTAAGGCTGAATGGGTAGCCAAGACCCAGATGAGTGGGTCTGGTCATCTGCAGCGTGCAGAAAAGAAGAGCAAGGAAGGTTTTCAGCAGGGTAATTCTAGGATCAGATTTACACTTTAGCATCATTCCTCTGTCTGAGGTGTACAAGAGCAGTCCCCAGCTTTTTGGGCACCAGGGACTGGCTTCATGGAAGACAATTTTTCCATGGACTGGAACGGGGGCAGAGATGATTTTAGGATACTTCGAGCACATTACATTTACTGAGCATCACCACCTCAGATCGATTAGATGCCCGTAAGGAGTGTGCAACAGAGACCCCTTGCGTGTGCAGGTCACAGTGGAGTCTGCTCTCCTATGAAAATTCTGCAGCTGACCTGACAGGAGGTGGAGTTCAGGTGGTAATACACGCGGTGGGGAACGGCTGTGAACACAGACGGGGCTTGGCTCACTCCGCCACCACTTACCTCCTGCCGTGCAACCCAGTCCCTACCAGGCCACAGGCTGGAGCCCGGGTGTCGGGGACCCGTTGCCTACAGCGTGAATCGCAGGCGGAAGGAGAGGAACTACGTTCAGTCTCGGAGACCAGTGAGAACACTACTCCAGTTGCACACCTGAAATGTCTGACAGGGTAAAGTGAAAGTGAAAGTCGCTCAGTCATGTCCAACTCTTTGTGACCCCATGGACTATGCAGTCCCTGGAATTCTCAGTCAGAATACTGGAGTGGGGAGCCTTTCCCTTCCCCAGGGGATCTTCCCAGCCCAGGGCTCGAACCCGGGTCCCCCGCATTGCCTGCCGATTCGCTAGGGCTGAGCCGCCAGGGAAGCCGGGTGAGGCCTATAGCATTGCCGCAGGCGACGGTCAGTTAAAGGGGGAGGGGCCGGAAGCAGCCCAAGATGGCGCCCGGGTGTCCCGCGGTGTTCACAGAGGGAGCGCGCGAGAGTCTGGCGGAAGTGGAGACAAAGCACGTGAGGGGTGGGGGGCAGCGGGTGAGAAAAGAGTCTCCATTCCGCATCACACGTGCTGGCTTTGAGGCTCTCTATGTTCTCCGAGGTGACAGTGTCCAGGTGGCGCTAGTCCTAAGGGTCCGGAGCTCAGAGAAGCCTAGACTGGAGACGCGGATTTGTGATCTCGTCAGCCAAATGGTGACAGCTGGCGTGCTGCCAGTGGATGAGATGGTCCGGGGGCAGGACCTAAGTGAGTGAGCCCTGAGGGGCTTGCCTGGTGGCTCAGGCAGTGACGAACCCGTGGGCACGCCAGGAGACCGGGCTTCGATCCCTGGCTTGGGAAGACTGCCTGCAGAAGGGAAGGGCAGCCCACTCCAGTGTCCTTGCCTGGAGAATCCCATGGCCGGAGGAGCCTGGCGGGCTACAGTCCATGGGGTCACACAGAGTCGGCTACAACTGAGCGACTAACACTTGCTCGTTTCAAGGAAGAGTAGCAAGCAGATAAGGCCAAGGAGGAACAACCTAGATCAATGTTGGTAGGTTTCAAAAGCACTGAGACGAAACTTCATACAGAGAGGAACACGAATAACCGTTCAGGCTTTGGGGATGAGAAGAAGAGGACGCAGGAAAGTTTTCACAAAGGAAATGTCAATGAAACAAGACTCTGAACGGTGAATAGAAAATTTCCCATGCAAATAAAGCAGATAAAGCAAAGGCAGGAGGGACAAAATGACAGGCCAGAAGCTTCAAGAAGCGTTCAGGGACTATCAGGCTGTGTATGTTTAACCCCAGGTTGGAGATTACGGTTTGGCTTTTTCACCAAATATCAGCCTTTTGGAATGTATAGTGTTGGGTTAGGGAAGGACGATTTCTGTATTTCTACCTGATATAAACCGCTAGCTTTCAACTGTGGTGCACACCACAATCCTCTGGACAGCTTGTTAAAACAGATTGCTGAGCCCCACCTCCAGAGTTTCTGATATAATAGGCATGGGTGGGCCTAGTGATTTGAATTTCTAATCAGATCCCAGGTGAAGCCAGTGCTGCCGTTTCAGGGACCACAGTTTGAGGACCACTGAGAAGGCGGAGAAGGAGAGGTACCATGCTAGCTCTCCCCTCCCCAGCCCCCCAAATCAGCTTCTTGGGCAGGCCTCATCTGTCAGGGGGGACTAGTTACACTGGGAATAAAGGACTGTTTGCATCACACAGTCTTCACATCCTTCTCCCTTTCTTGGTGGACAGATCCTTCCTGTTTACTCTTCAACCTATACAAATTTTGGACAATTTCAAGGCTGGGTCCTTTTCAAGAAAGCAAACTCCTCCTCACACGATTCCCAGGGCCGCCTCTGTCCACACACCCTGGTGACCCACAAAAATGAAGAACCACCTCTGCGCCTCTCTCCGTGGTCGCGGATCCTTGTGGAGCTGTTTTCCATCGATGAATCATCTTACCCTCCCGAGAAGCTGGACAGTAGAATAAGCAAGCATGGGATGATGATGACCTATCAATGGCCCCACCGTGCTTCCTGGTCTAGTGGAGACCCTGGTGGTACCACAGCCTCTCCTAGAAACTGGTGACAGCTTTTCATGTAAAATGTAGCTCCTTCTCAGTTCTGTAACACTTCAACAACAGAATCTACTGCAAATGATCCAGGTTAGTCAGGAATTGTAGTCCCTTCTGGAGAAGGAAATGGCAATGCACTCCAGTATCCTTGCCTGGAAAGTTCCATCAGAGAGGCCTGGTGGGCCCCAGTCCATGGGGTCACGAAGAGTTGGACTGAGCATACACTGCAGCCTCCCATCCTGGATTGCAGGGCTTTAGGGCCATTGAATTTAGGACGCCTATCACGTGAGAAGGCGCTGCTTTGGACTCTCCTCCTTCCCCCTAAACCTTGAGATTGGGGGGGTCTTGGGGACGTCTCTGTGGCACCATGACAAGGGAACAGAGTAGTTGATGTGTCTCCAAGGTGAGTGTCCATCTCAAGCCTCCCTGAGATGGATGGAGGAGAATAGCTGGGCTCTTCCTGTGCCCACAAGAGGATCACAGGTAGGATGGACAAGGGGCTGAGGACCAAATTCGTTTGCAGCGAGAAGCACACGGCATGACCTGCAGGGCCCACAACAAAGGCTACGGTGAGCGGGAAACTCAGCTCGTTAGATGATTGATCATAATCCAGAGAGGCTCTTACGTCAGCTAAGAAAATTTAAATAGGGAGAAGTACACACGGTGACAGAGAGAGGGCCAAACCAGAGTGTGCTCGTGAGCTACAGCAGAGTTGTAGAAGGCATTCAACTCGAGCGGGGCCAAAGACGCCAATTCCAGCATATTCTGAGAGAGCCGTCATCACCAAAATACGAGGCTTCTACAGTCTAACCCATTCCTCCACCAGACCAGGTTCAGTTTTCGGTGAAGATATTAAAATGGGGGAGAGGGTAGGATTCAGAGGATCAAGGGCCCTCTCTAATGCAGTCTGAGATCTGGTAGGAAAAAATAATGCAGCTGAGCCTCGAAAAGAGGCAATACAGGGAGATGCGATGATCAGTATTTAAAAGTCTTGTCACGTGACAGGGGATGAAGCTTGTGTGGATGCGTAGCTGTTACAGGAAAATGATTTTCGAGCTGGACATATAGTACGGAACTTTATAGAAAGTAGAACAGCCGGAGGACTTAGGAGCCTGGAGTTTGGAGCAAAGCTGCAAAGGTCTGAAGGTCCTAAGGTAACCTCAGACCAAGTTCTCTCAGTTCTCGGCAAAGTGACATCAAGAATAATATCTGCGAGTAGTATTGCAGTGAGATTAAAGAGATAATAGGTCCAAAATGCTTAGACATTGTCTGGCACATCCCAAGGGTTATAGTTGTTGAAGATCCCTGGAGAAGGAAATGGCAATCCACTCAAGTACTCTCACCTGCAAAAGTCCATGGATGGAGGAGCCTGGTGGGCTACAGTCCATGGAGTCGCAAAGAGTCGGACACAACTGAGCGACTTCACTTCACTTTTAATTTTCATTCTTGTTACTGACAGAGGTATCGACAGAAGAACGGCCTTGAGGGGTGGTGTGTCTGCTCAGGGGTTGTCTGAGCAGAGACGTGCAGGTAGGCGGGAACTCAGGGAGAGAGGAAAACAAGGAGGGCTGTGACACAGGTTGATGTTTTCAGCTCTAGGTGGACAGAGGATTTCAGAAAAACTACAAGTTTAATTCTCCACAATCTCTGTCTCCACTCACAACTGCATCATGACTACTCTCTTCTGAATGTTGTTCTTGTTTTAGTGAAAGCATGGATGCTCACTGCCATGGATACTTCCACAATTTTAATATCTTTCAAACTGTCTATAGATGATACACATGTTTTCACATATGAATAAAAGTCAATCCTGAGAAAAATGTGAGCATTTCGAATTAGGTGAGACACAGGGACACATTCATCCTTTCATTCAGCGTTTGTCAAGTCATTCATACGTCAGGCACTGGCCATATTTATATTAGTGTTCATAAGTTACAGTACCTGGCCTTCAAGGAGTTTATGATTTAGTCACATTGGCCAGAAATAAGATACAAAAGCTTAAGAACCACCCTGTGAAATAAACCTAAGAGAAGTCTTTCAATACTGAGTGAGAATCTACAATTTGGCAAATCTTGGCTTGGTAGGTAGCAGTAGCAACAGTCCTGTGGATAAATTTAGTACAGAGAACAGACAAAATCAAGACCGAAGAAATCCCAAAGAACAACACCCGCCTCTCCAGCAGCCTAGAATCAGCCTTGAGTTTGTGTAACATGTTGAGTTGAAGGCACTAAAGGTCACTTTGCTTTTGAGAAGTAAAGCGTGAGGGCAAGGAAGAGCAATCCCTATGTGATGGAGCAGAGAAATGACTTCTTCAGAAAGAAAACAGAAAGCCTTTAAAGGAAATTATAATATCAAAGAGAAAAATCTACCTGGCAAGGATAATAGCCAATGAGGTGTTAAATACATGCATTAAATTCTGATTGGATGGGGCAGATAAACTGATGGTACAAAAGATAGATTGTCAAGAATCTTTATGAAAAACTACATATTGTAGTTTAGAAGCTGGATGAAAAACCTGTTGCTGAAGATAAATTTAACAAAGAATAGAGAATCTAAGAGAAACAATTTCAACCAAAGAAGTTTTAAGGTAAAACAAAAATTTCTCCTGAAATCATTTTTAGTAAAATGTTGATGGAGACTAAAGTCTTCCAGGAAGTCATTACGTAGCACTTAAGACATGTAAGTGTTCCAACCCTCCAAAGCCAGATGGTGTTCATTGTGGGGGTCCCAGGAGGACCCACATGTGAATGGCTATACTATTGGTCAGGACATAAAATACAGCCTCAGTGCTATGTCCTTACCTAAACATCAGGCTCCACTGGGAGTCTTTGTCTTGAATAAAGGTTTGAGAATTGGGTCCCATCATCTATTACTGCAGAGGAATTATCTCTGGAAATTAGAAAGGTGTCTTATTCTCAGGAGATACAAGAAATTTAAAAACCCTGAGCCTCTTGACTTCTAAAACACTTTCTTCAAGGATTAATTGAATCAATATGCCCTTATAATCGTGATGTATTCTGAAGCAAAAAATAAAATCAATATTCAATTTAAATTCTTTCTGGGGAAGGACAACAAAATGGGGAGGAAAATAATCCAGCATTACTTTCTAAAAGTGATTTATATTTTTCTGGAGTTTTTTGCCCTAAATTTTGTCTCATGAATATGTATCACATCCATAATCAGGAAAGATGGTTGAAACAAAGAACTATAATATACTAATATTAAAACATTTCTTAAATTGTGGTAGCTCTACTCAAAAAGATTTAGGATAGCCAAAGCCAAGCTTAATAAGAGTTAAGGTGACCACTGGATTAAGACTCCAATGGAGAATGCAAGATGGATGGTCCAGTGCAGGGCATAAAATTGAACAGTCTAACATTACTTTATTCTAGAATAGAGAAAAAATAATTAGACTTTCTGGAGCTATTTAAACACTCAGTGAAATCCAAGCAGCTCCACATTTTCACCCATGTGCTAAGGGAAGAAAAGGGACATTGTATGAAGTTCATAAACAGGAAAATTAGTAAAAATGTGAATTAATTTTTTACTTTATATAGAGCTAAAACATAGAATATTGTGTTGAAGATGTTAGTGGGGAAATCATGGAGGTATATATTTTATGATTTTCAATTATATTTGTCTCCACCAGTATAAAAATAGAATTCAATCAATCTCTCTTGTAGGTA